TCGCATCACACCGTGCACCTCTGGTTACCCTGCCCATGCAGCATCCCTGGCTCCAGCAGGGCGTCCGGCGGAACACCCATGGTCTGTTTGAAGACCGACACACTAAGAAGCGGCTGCAGGCCTGCTGATGTGCTCCTGATGGGAAGAAGCCACGTGGAGCTGTTTCCAGGCATTGCTGGTAAGGAAGGGGAAGGGGGGAGTTCCCAAAGCTGTGGGCCAGTTTGGTGTGCAGGAAAAGAGCCTCATTCAGGTGCCTTTAATTTTTGTATTAAATTGTAATTAAATTGTAATTAAATTTAATTAAGCAGGGATGGCTTTGCTAGATAGGGGTATGTGATGGCAATAGGGCTTCCTAACTGCTCAGTAGCTGGGCTTTGCTTTCTGGGCTCAGAATGGTCTACGTGGTTTCCTGAGCAGTGATTTCTCTGTTGGGACCAGTGGCCAGTTGACCAGTTACTACACAGATCCAAAGGTTAGAGGGAGGGACAACAGCAAGAAACATCAGAGGACAAGACAGACAGGGCACCGGCTGCCTCCCCTACCTGACGAGGCTGGGGTCAGGGTTGTAGGGCGGCGGGGGGGTGCAGTGTGATCCAGACACCATGGACTGGGATGCGTGGCCCCCATTCATCTCTCCATTGGGCTGCATGGGGTGACTGTTCAGCATTCCGGGTCCTGGGCACAACAACCACCCGTTAGACATCACGGTGAGGGGCTCCCGTGGTGCCGCAGTGGGGTGAGGCTCTTACCCATGGGTGCGAGGCCGGGCGCGGAGCCGGAGCCGTGCTGTGCGGGCTGCCCCACCAGCTGGTTCACCGAGGGCAGCTTGTTGATGCCTCCGCCATGGACCTTGTTCATGGGTGAAAGGACGGGGCCGTAGGAGGACGGGGGCTGCAGCTGGGTCCTGTGTGTGGGAACCAAGCGGTGGATTGGTCCCTGCAGCCACCCTGCCCCATCCTTCATCACCTCCAAAGGGCCCTTTCCAACCCTAATGATCCCAGAGGCGATCGGAACCCCCTGCTGAGGCTGCAGGCACCGATCAGAGCGCTCAGCACCCATGGGGGGGGTTCAGTGCCACGAGTGAGGGTCTGGTACTCACTGCCTCTGCAGGAGCTGCTGCTGCTGCTGCCGGTAGGAGTCAACCAACTGCTGCGGGACCAGCTCCACCAGCTCCAGGCTCTCCTTTATCTTCATCAGGATCTCGAAGTTCTCCCGGCCTCGCACCTGCAGGACGGAACAAGCCCAGGGATTCGCCTTGCTCCCACCCCTCCCAGCAGCCTTCCCCATGGACCCTTATTTCCACCCAACCACATCTCTGTGCCCAGGGGCTATTTGGGACTGCCTCGCACATGGATTCATGGATGCTTTTGCCCCTGTTCTCATCACCTGTGCCTCAGGATCCCCATCCTGCCCCACATCACATCCCCAAGGTGTTTCTCACCACCCATCCAAGCCGAGCTCTAAACCAGCACAGCTCACCAACACTTACAGGCACATAATACATCTCTTCCTCCCCGTGCCGTCGCTTCTTAATGCCAGCCCCTAGTGCTGGGATGCCCTGAGGGCTCTGCTTGAACGCTGGAAAGGAGAGAGGAAAAGCATTGGCTTGCTGTCCTTGGGAGGCAGCGCACAGCTGGCACATCTGGACAGCACCCAGAGCCGTGCGGGATGCTGCTGTTCACCTGGGTTCTGGCATTGGTGATGTCCCTTGGGTAGTGATAATGATGAACAAATACTCTGGGACATGAAAGCCCTGCACAAACAGCTTTGCACTGGGGGCAGGAGGGAGGGGGTCCTGGTTGTGAGACTTTAGATTTAGTCGAGAAGGTCAAAGCGTTGTGGCTGGGTGTTGTCTTGAGCCCAAGCTTCTGGAGCGCAGTGATTTTTGGGATGGGAAAGGGGTTGAAGCAGAAGCATCATGTGAGTAACAAAGGGGTGTGGGTGCTGGCAGGAGCCTGGGCTGCAGCACAGCAGCTCCCTGAGCCCCCCTCCCTCTCCAGCAAGGGACTCACTGCGCTTGTTGGTGCTGCCGTTCTTGGCTGCGCTCTCATTCAGGGCTTGCTGCTCCCGGTAATGGTCCTCATCAGCCTTGCGGTCCCTGCCCGGGCAGGCACAGATCCGGCCCTCGAAGGATCTCCTCCCTAGGACCTGGCCGCTGGGAGGAGAGGGGAATCAGTGACCCTGCTTCTGCTTGGGAAGTGCACCACAGCGCATCCAGCGCATCATGGTCCAGCACGGAAACCAGGGTCTGCCCATCCCTCCGTGTGAATGGATTGCTCAGGGAGCAATGGATCCCCAGGGTGCTGCCCTGCAGCAGCAGCGGGCTCCTTGGCCAGAGGAAGGTTCCAGCTGCAGCCAGAAAAGCTGATGCTGGCCTGGGTTCCTGGTCCCTTTGTGCCTGGTCCCCAGTCCCTCTGTGCCTGGTCCCCAGTCCCTCTGTACCAGCCCTTTTCCTACCTGCTGTGTGCTGGGGCTGCCACATCCCCTTCCCCTGAGGTTGCTCCCTGGAGGGGGGGATTCATCCCGAGGGTTTCCAGCCCTCCCACAGCAGTGAGGGATGCCCGTCCCTGCTCCGACAGCCACTCACTCTCGTGTCTCCAGGGTGATGATGATGAGGATGGGCCTCCTGTTCATCCCTCCCACGCAGCTGCTGTTGCACATGAAGTTGTACAGGATGGTGGTGAACTCGGTCCCCACCTGCCCGGGAGGGGAAAGCAGGCACTGAGTGATGGGGACGCAGGGAGGGAACCCCCGGTGTGGGTCTGGCCCCTCACTGGGGGAAGCCAGAGAGAAGATGGGACTGTGCAGGGGCTGCAGGGTTCCTGAGGCCCCCAAGGGCAGAACTGGGGGGGGAATCTCTCTTTGCACCCCACTTCCCAGGGATGGGATGCTCTCGGATGCTTCCCATGGCTGGGAGCTGCAGATGGTTTGGGAGGCAGGCAGGGGTGGCCTCAAATGGGCACGGACAAGTGGGATGCTCCCACCCAGCAGCCCCAGCACCAGCAGCTTCACCCTCAGCACCAGCAGCATCCCTGCTGGAGGCAGGTGCTGGTCCTGCCCCCCCATCCCCTGGTGGCAGGTACCTGTGGAGGCTCATAGGGCACCATCACGCTCTGCCTTCCCGTCACGGGGTCATCCACGTACTGGGAGAGGTTGTTGCCTTCCACGCGGATGAGGTGGCTGGCGGGGGCTGCCTGGCCTGCAAGGCAAAGCTCCGTGTTAGGGGCCGTGGCAGCGCCGGTGCCGGCGCAGGGGCAGAGCCGCGCTCACCATCATTGAAGTCGCGGCCGAGCTCGTGGTTGGGGCAGCGCTTCACCACCTCGGTGACGTGCTCTGCCTTCTTGTAGATGGGCATGGCCCGGATGATGGTGCCCGGCGGCGGCGGCGAGGACACCTTGATCTGGATGGGACATGTCTTGGCGATCTGGCAGTAGAGTTTCTTCAGCAGGGGGGAGTACTGCAGAAGAAGAGATGCCCATGGGGCGAGCGGCACTGGGCTCGATGGGGTGGTGGATGCTCCCCTGCCTGCCCCCGGCTTCCTCGGCTGCTCCCTTCTCTTTCCTCCCTGCACGGGGCTCACGTCCGCCTCCAGATGATGGTCCCACTGCACCGAGAGGCATTTCCAGCCCTTCTTCTCCTCTCCCACCCACCTCCTGCTTCCTCACTGCTCCATGTGAAGCATGAACATGGCACATTAAAATCAGGGTTATAAACCCCCTTCCTAGGAATGGGACCGTGCCAGGGCAAGGCTGCTCTAGGTGCCGACACACAGAATCACCCCAGTGGCTCCATGATGGATCTCAGCACTGCAAACTGCTGCTGCAGTCATAGGGCATGGTGACCAAAGCAAGTTCAGCCTTTCTTCATGGTAACTGTTCTCTAGGATCAGTATTCGGGTTTCCCCTGGAAATACTTAAATGTGACCGTATTTGCCCATGCTGCATCGTGTCTGCTTTCCCTGTCAAGGGCTGGGAGCTGCAGGAAGGGGTTCCCAGCCAGCCCAAGTGCTCTGGCAGAGCAGAGCAGTCACTCCACTGAGACTTGGAGGAAGCCTTGCTGCAAATCAGCATAAACCCCCTTCAGACATCACTGGAAGCATCACGCTGAGTCTATTATCACACACGAGTCCTGGCTGAGCCAAGGGTTGGGATCACCGAGGGCACCAACGCACCACAGCCTGAGGGGTTCGTGCTTAATGGCAATAACAGGACCGCAGCTCACGGTGCACGGCCTGGGAGTTCAGTTCTATGGAGCACGTGTGGCCCGGGCAGGGATTGTCCTGGCCATGAGGTGATGCTGTGCGGCTGCCGCAAAGGGGACACTGTGGTTCCTGCCCGTTCCAACCCTCCCTGCTTCCAGAGCTGGGGAATGCAGAGCCTGTCCCTCAGCTCCAGGAACCCCGTGTGTCAGCGCCCAGGTGTGGGGCTGTGCGATTCCCTTCCACCTCGCCGGTGCCACGCTGTTTTCCATCTCGCAAGGAATGTGTTTGCTATACAGGAGCCCACCCCTGCCGCACAGGGAGAAGCCAGTCCCTGCATGGCAGGGCATGTTCCTGCTCAAAGGATTTTATCTCATCCCCACAACGAGATTCCCGCTGCCAAAAAAATACCACCGTGCAGGGTACTGCTGGGATGTTAACGCTTGTCCCGAGCCACCCGAATACAGGTGGGCAGGGGACAGCGAGGCTCCTGCTGCCCCCCTCTTTGGGATCAGGGGATGCTGAAGCAGGGCTCAGCGCCGCACCGGGAGGGTGCTGTGGGGCTGACACAGTGGTGCATCCCTTGTCTTCCCAATGCCCCGAGCCCAGCCGGCAGGAGGGAGCTGTGCCTCCTGGCCTCACTGCCCTTGCTGTAGGCTCCCATGGAGCCTGCAGGTCTGGATGAGCTCCCCACCCCCGGGGAGCAGCTGAAGGGGGAAACGAGATAAACCATTTCCAGGTGGTCTCTGTAGGGAGGATATAAGGGGAGAAGCTTCTGCCAAGGCAAACTGCAGCAGTGAGGGTGGTCAAATGCTGGTATTGCCTCCCAGAGGGATAAGGCAGTGGGCAGAGCCTGCCCAGCACTAGAGAGGGCAGGAAGATGCTGTGGTCATTAGAGGCTGCAATCAGGAGCTATACAAGGAGCTCAATCTGGCAGCAAGAAATCACCCTCAGCGTGGGAGGTATGTGGACTTGCCCAGGGAGAAGGGATGCTTAGAAACATCGCCATTAACTGAAATACCCGTGTTTTGCCTTGGAACCTGATGACTCCATGGCCAGGTTGGGTTCCTGGGCGCCATCCTGCATCTCCAAGAGGGCTGTGCTGGAGCTGGAAGCACGGGCTCTGCTTGGGAGGCAGTTGCTCCCCTCTGCCTGGCTGGAGGAAGGAAGCTCTCGGCCATGGCCCAGGTAAGCTGCTCACCCACAGCGCAACGGGGGCTGAACACCCTCGTTTGAGGAGCCCACATGGCAAAACAAGGGTTATTCGGAGGGGGGCTCTTCCTTGCCAGGTGTTAAAATACTGACAACTCCTGTCAAAGGATCCTTTCATGTAGACATTCCCGGGCAGCCCTCGACATGCCTGGGAAATCTAACTGCTCTGGAAGAGCAGAGGTGCATTATGGCAAGTTCTTTGGTAACAAATTCTCTCATTATACCATGTTATGACATGGATAAATCTCTGTTAAATAGCAGAGCGATTGCCCCGCAGGGGGAAAGGCTGCCGCTCAACGCAGGCATGCCTCCACTGATAACCTTATCGTGTCTTAACAGCTCCGGGGTTGCCTTCAAAGATCCTTCCACAATAACAAACGATTCTTTTAAGGAACTCGGTGCTGATAACTTGGGCGAGCAAAGTCAGGGCTGTGCCCTGTGCGGCAGTGCTCCTGGTCCCGTGGACCCAGCCTGTCCATGGCCACCAAGCAGGATGTTCTCAGGATCCCAGGAGGAGGCTCAGCATCCCCAGCCAAGGAAAAGCCATTGGCAGCGTATGCTTTCCATAGGGGACAGCAAAACGCATGGCCTGCTCGGGCACTGGGCAGAGAGCCTCTGCTCCTACGTGCTTATCTGTATTCCTAATCCCCCTCCATGTGGGCATCCCTGAGCAGTGCTGTGCTGCACAACGTGCTTTACTGATGCTTTGCAGGCTGCTCACTCGTATCCTGCCTGTTCCATGGTGTTTGGATGAGCTGACCTCTTAAAACCAGCTGCACATGAACACTTCCCAGCGCTGGGGCATCAGCACATCCAGACCTCAGCCCCAGGACTTCTTTCACACCTACAGAAGAGCTTGGCTACGTTCTGCCCTGGGCACCTCCTGTCTGTATTTTCAGGTCCTGCTCTACCCTTTGGGCCGTTAGCATCTGTGCCCCAGTTACGTTATTGCCAAGGTCATCTCTGCCCGTAGAAAAAGCCAGAGAGCGTCTGTTAATGCCCGTTTGCAGAGCACAAGAGGTTCATTGCTCGTGTGGCTTGTGGGTGCTGGGTCTGTGTCAAAGAGCAGTAACAGCACTGCGCAATCTGCCTGAAGCCCACATAAACTTGCAGCACATTTGTTCCCCTGGGTTTCTCTGTAGTTGGGCAGCTTTCAGCGCCAGCCCTCATCTGCTGGGGTGAAAGAACACCAGCTCCATCACTGTCCCTTCCCTGCTCCTGTGATCTGTCCTGCAGTGCAAGTCCAGAGCGCTAGGAATAACTGGAAAAGCCAGATTGTTTAAACACCAGCAGTAAATCAGCATCAACCTCTGTTTCTCTAGGGATGTGGTACCCCAAAGTGTCTTTAGATGGGGTTTCTTTCACCTCTGTGTTTGAAATGCAGCTACTACTTGGGTGAGACAGAGACCGCGCTGCACCAGTAATGGGAAATAAGAGCCCGTGGTGCAACCGGGCACTGCAGGGGCTTGCCAAGGTAATCCTGCACTGCCACTGCTGCATCCAAGGAAGGGCTTCACACATCACAAGATCCAAATGCGCCGATGCCCCACAATGATTCACGATGGCTGATGCGAGCTGTGATGCACCCTTAGCACCCACTCCAAAAGAGGCCACTGCACTATGGACCCATAGCCATGGGTTTTCCCTATGGATGCTGACAGCCTCACAACCCGAATCTTCCGTGTGGGAAGACCGACTGGCAACGTCCATCTCCCCCAGCCCTCCCTGGGCAGCAGAACCGCTACGAGGATGTGTCCCAACAGATTCGGAGCTGATAAAATCTTATTTATCTTCAACTGTTGACACTGAGGCGTCCAGACTTGCCTGCTCCGGGAGGGCCGCAGCCAAGTCCTCCTTTCCCTCTTGAAGGAAATGATTTGCTCAACAATTACTTTTTCCACAAATCCTCCCCCCTCCTCCCTACCAGCCTCCTCCTCCTCTCCTACATTCCAGTCTCCTCATTAGCTCTACTCAAGACGTGTCCAGGACTGCAGTCAATGGATCCCAATAAAGCCACTAGCCTGGCAAGAGAGAGAGAAGAAAAGTGCTGCCTCCGGCTGCTAATTTCCTTGTGCTCCCCAGCAAGCAGCTGCGGAGCTGCATCCTGGGACAGGTTCGGACAGATCGGAGCCGAGAGGTGATAATAACGTGTCTGTCATCTCACTCAGACATGTAGCATCTTGCAAACCGCAAATACCGTTAACCGGCTCGGACGAATCTGTTACGACAGATCCTGAAGACATGCCGGCTGCACAGCTCGGCCTTTCTTCTCTCTAATTTCTCTTTAATAACCAGTTTTTAATCACCGGCCTCTGGAACTTCTCACTGAGCTGGAAATTCTTCCCAAAGCTCCTCTGTGCCTCCTTTACTACGAGAGCACAGCCAGAGCATCACTGATGCCCAAGAGCATGCGGTGCTGCCTGAGCCATGTGAGGGGCTGGGCAGCAGAGATGCTGCTCCAGAGCAGCTCTAAGGGATGCCCCAACCCTGGCTGCCCAATGTTGGCAGTGCCTGCACCATGGTGGTGACAACTTGGGTGCCACCTGCAGGCAACACAGTGGGGCCACCAGTGATGCCTTGGGGCTGCCACTGGAGCAGACACAGCAAGAGAAGCCTTGTGTGCTCCAGCCTACATTCTTCTACCTTTATTATCGTGCTATTACTGCTAATTACAATCCCTTTGCTCACCCCCAAAGGAGTGCTCTCCCTTCCTTCCCCGGTGTGCACATCCTTACAATAACTGCCAGCCAGGATCCCAGCCGTTCTTAGTCACCGAGCAACCAGCCAGCGCTGGCACACGCGGAGCTTGGTTTAATCTCTTCTAGTAAGTCTGACTCCTTCTGTGTGTCTGGATACTCGGGTCCCCTGACCAAGCCGGTGCTGGAGGTCCCTCTCATCCAGCAAGGCAGTTATTCCGTGCTGTGTTATCAAGATTGGATACAGGGAGCAAGCTGGGAGGGAAGAAGAGGCTGAGTTGGGCTTGGGAAACTAAATACAAAAGCCACAATGGCAAGACCTGGACCTGGGGGAGATCAGCACCACCCGCAGCATCCCTGGCAAGCAGCAGGGAGCTGCTTCTGCTTCTTTACAGCCCTGCCTGCAGTGGGCACAGGCAGAGAGCGTGGTTTGCAGGGGGCACACGCAGCATCCGTCTCTCCCCATCCTTTAGACTTCCCAGGAATGTGTGGCATGGGATGCAGCCACATCTCCTCCCAAAGGCCTTGGTGGGGCTGTTACTTGTGATAGCACAGATATGTATTTCCTCCTGCAGCCTATTCACTATCTCAGTCCCTCCAGCAGGTCCCTCAGTCCCTACATCCCCTGCATGGTGTGGATCCAAGTGGAGAGGAGCCGGCCAGAGCAGCCCCATTTCCCTGGTACATCCTCTCCCACTTCTGTAGGTGAGCGCTGCCTTCCCACTGGAGCAGCAGTTGCCAGTAAGTCGTTCCCTTGACCTGTGCATACCATAAACGTTCGAGATAGTGGAGCTGATAGCGGGATCGTGTTGGAACATCGCACACCGAATTCCTTTGCCTTTTTTTTTCCTTAATTCCATTGTGTCTGGAGCTCCCGGAGCCTCATCCACGCCCTGTGAAAGCTGGTGGAAAGCCTCCAGTGGGCTGGCTTCAATGGGCCTGGAGCGCGCTGATGCTGAGGCTGCTTTCCTACTCCTGGCACACCAAAACAGCCACGCTCTTCTGCCCAGCCACCAGGGTGCAACCAAAGATGTTTGTGGCTCTGTGCCGCACTACGCATCCCCCTGCTCATCCCCAGCCTGCTGCTGTTGGATGGGGACCTCCCTAAAACACGGTAAAGTGCCAGAGAGAGGGGCTTGTTTTCTGTAGGTGCTGCTAAAGGTCTTGCCTTCCTGTTTACAACCCCCTTTACCCCAACAAGTGACCAAGGGAGAACCTACCTCCTGCCACACCAGTTATTCCCACCTTCCTCATTCAGTTTGCATCAGACAAAGCATTTCAGCTCCCCCAGTACCCACACTCCAGCTGCAAGATCAGTGGAGCTGCTGGACCCAGGTCAGCATGACAGTTTCCCACTGGCCAAGCACTGGGATGCTGTGGGTGATTGGTTTGCTGTGGGTGACTGGTTTGCTGTGGGTGATGGGTGCTCCATTGCAGCGGGAGCACCTCACCTCCTCTCTGAACCTCTCCATCCTTTCCATTGCAGGCTATTTGCTCCCACAGGCAGCAGGCAGAACCCTGGATGGGGACCCCTCTATGCTTATCCCTGGCTTCATGGACCCCCTGTCTGCTCAGCTCAGAGGTTTGTCCCTCTCCCCCCAGCCCCAGGGTCTCTGTGCGAGCCCGGGCAGCTGCCCCACGCGGGGGGCTCCATTCCCCACATCCTTTTTCAGCCAGGCCACGGGAGGCCAAAGACCCCATTAACGCTTCTGCCGGCTCTGGCACACCGAGAGCCTCTTAGAGGGGAGGGCGCCGGGATGCGCCGCGCACCCCACTTGCGAACAGTCCTAATTACCCATCAGTTACCAGCTGGCCGGCGTGGCCAGGGGCTGCCCGCGAGGAAGCAGCCGGGCTGGGCTCGCAGCTCCAGCGTGCACGGGCAGCTCCGGGGACCCGGGAGTCCTGCGAGCTCCCAGCAGACCGGCAGATGCCGGCGTGCCCCGTCTTGCCGCGCCGCAGCTCCCGGTCCTCCCTCCCGCCGGAGCACGGCCTCCAACCCACAGGGAAAACCTTATTGTCAGCGTTTCCTGCCCGTGGCTCTCTGCTGGTGAAGGGGCCATTAAAAAGGAGCAGGGAGGTGGAGGCGGCCGGGGGGGGCCTTCCTGCAGCGCTGCTGCTTTGGGTCAGGATTCGGGATGACGTGAGGTGCTCGGAGTCGGGATGTCACCCATCTCTGCAAGGGCAGACCCGGTTCGGGTGATGTGACCCCAAAGCCCTGTCCGAAAGCTTCACCTCTTCTCCATTTTCCTATTTCCTAATGTAGAAACTCAGTGGTGTAAGGCTACAGAGAACAGATGATGATCCTCTGGTTCCATTCCCTACACTGCTGGTCCCTGCCTACTCATTTTGCATGGAGCCTGCAGAGTCTGCCTGAAGTACAGCTTATCTTTTGCGAGATATGCGGGCTCTTCATTTGAATACTTCAGGAGTTGGAGAATTCGCTGCATTCCTTGGTAAATTGTGCCTATGGTTAATTATCCTCCCTGCTAAAAAAATTCCACCTTGTTTCTAGTCTGAATTTGCCTGGCTTCAGCTTCCAAGCACTGGATCTCATTATGCTTTCTGCTATTAGATTAAAGAGCTGCCTGCTATCAGAAAACATCTCCTGCAGGCTGCGATCGAGCCACCCTTACTCTTCTCATGGAGACCTTTCACGCAGAATGTTTCTGGTATCACCCTTCATCTGCTCCAAATCTTTCATCTTCCTTGGATCTCCCTCCCAGACCTTTTCTGTTTTGGCAGCAGAGGGTTTGGAGCATGGACACGAGAGCTGCATGTGCATGGGAGGGCAGGGAGCTCCATGATGCTCAGTTCCCCCTGCCCAGGCGCTGCAGAGCGAGCCACCATGCAGCCAGCTCATCTCCTGATGGTCTCTGGCCATAAGCCTCCTTCCCTCAGCATGGGAGAATGGATAACGCTGTGTTTCCCAGAGGGATTTGGTCAGGACCCTTCAAAACCAGCAGTCTATTGGGCTACTCGCTTCCATCCACCAAAGCTGATGCCAAGTCATTTGACGACCCGCACCAAACTGTTTGGCTGGGCATTGCCTCTGCTCCAGCTGTCCGCTCCTTGGCTGATTCTCCATGATCCAATCCCAGACTGCAGGAGGCCTTTGGAGCTGCCGGGCTGGCAGGGTCTTCCTCAGGGTGAAGGGCTCCCACTGCTGCTTGGCTGGGTGGCGTCATTGAATCCCTGTTCAACACTTCAATGGTCCTGGTGCGCATCGCTCGGTGCAGTTAATCTTGTTCAAGAGCTGTGAGGCTTCCCCAGCTATGGATGAGGAGTCAGCCTGGATTCTTCCAAAGTGTTGAATGAAACCATGCGTGTCCTTCAGCACACCGAGATGGTTAATTCTGATACCCGTGGCTGCAGCATCCCTGAGCTGTCAGATGTTGCTGGCCCCAGCCTTACTCACCGCACACTTAACTCTCCTTCCCAAGTGCCTGCATTTCCCAACAGCTTTCCTAGTCTTACTTGTACGCTGCTACACGTCGCTTCTGTGGAATCACACTGCGTAGGTACATCATCGTTTGTACATGGACTGGCAATACAGAACAGATGGTTTCCTGCTGAATTCCTTTCTCCATTTAACCAGGACAGGCTTCCAAGCATGGCAGTGACAGTGCAGAGCTCAAGGTGATCAGGAGAAAGGCAGCAGCTCATCTTCCAGCACAGAACATGCAGCTGCATGGCTGTGGCAGCCCTCAGCCAGGAGGACATGCAGTGAATCTGGCTGTCACCGAGCAGGACCACTCTTTACATGGTGAGCCGGGCGCTCTGCACCATCAGCACTCCTGCAGGAATTCCTTTTGCAAGCGAAACATCCCCTGTACTCTTCAAGGTGCAAGATGCTGCTGACCCACGTCTGTTCACAAGGCTCAGCTCCACTGCAGTGACATGCGGGCTGAATGGTGCCAGTCCTGCAGGCAGCCCTCTCCTGGGGGACGTTCCATCAGCCCTGCCTTGCAGTGCAGGGTCTACACATCTCTGACTGCTTTGCCAAGCATTAAACCTGCCTCTGGGGCACAACCCTCTGCTCTTCGGGGGATAACTGCCCAGAAAGACCTTAGTGGCTTGTTCAGTTTGCTCCCTGCAGCTGCAACAAGCATCATCTGGCAGGAGAGAAGGGTATTTCCCTACTGGTAATTACAGTGAGCACAGAGCATACCTTTAGTAGGTGTTCTCTATGTCTTTTGACACGTGTGGGTACCCCCTGTCTCGCTGTCTGAGGGTGTCCTGCCCATAGCTGTGTCTGCTCCATCCCGTAGCCATCTCCCCAGTGCCAGTAGCTGGAAACAGTGGCAATCTCACATTAGACCCTTTCCAGTCCTCCTGCTTCTACCCAGGGAGAACTGAGACAAGACTTTGTGGGTTCAGTTTCCATTTGGCTGTTTTTGTGGCACATGAATGCCTCCTTTCCCTTGACAGGTCCTGTGCAGCTTCACTGTTACCTGAAGTGAGTTACCCCTGGTAAGGATGGAATTGGGCTGGAATCACATCCGACCCTGAGCACCTATTTACTAAATACCTTAAGAAATGCATCCTTTAGCAGCATCTTCAAGGAAAGACAGAGGAAAAGAGTGAGGACAACCGCTCCTATGAGGACAAGTCGTGTTTAATCACAGAGCTGGTCCCAGCCGCCGGGTCAGCACAACTCAGCAGTGAAGCCGTGATGCTCCAGCCTTGGACACCGGGAACCTGCTCTGCTGTCCCAGCCAGGGACTGGGCTGCATTCAGACCTCAGCTCCCTGCTGCCTTGCCCACTCTGCCTGCCTGCGGTTGTCACAGACCCACCGCCATAGCCTGTCCCCCCTGCACCCTCTCCATGACACCGGGCAGCCCCCTGTGCTGCGCCGGCAGCAGTGAGCAGAGCAGCACCCAGCAGGCGCAGCCCGGGATCTGCCAGCATGAAATCATCCAGGGACACTTTCTGTCTGCCGCGGCAAGGACCATCTTGGCAATTCAACACATCAGCTTCCAAAGTCCAAGCCGCCAGCACCCCCCGGGCTCATCTATCTCTCCTGGTCCCCTCTGCTTGATTCATGATAGTGTCAAACCACAGCCCCGGCGGAAACCCCTGAGTCAGGAGCCGGGATGTGAGTTTAGGACCACAAAAAGCAAAGCAGTCCCCGTTCATTCTGCCCGGATCCTGTGTCCCTGATGTGCAGGGGACTGCACGGACGGGGACCAGCCCCGCTCCCGAGGACCGCGCTGCTGCGCGCCGGTCGCGGCGCCGGGCAGCGATCCCTCCGTGATTAAACACCTACAGTCACTGTGCCACGACTCGCAGGGGTTAAGTCACTCTTCTGACACGAGAGGAAAAAGGATTGTAAATGACAAGCAACAATTTACGGCAAAGCTGAGATTGGTGACAGTGGTTGCGAGCAAAGCTCCCTCTCACCCACTGCTGCGCCTCTGACAGCGGTAGGGAAGCACCATGAGAACGAGGCAGGTATTTCCCCGGGATTCTCCCACTTTATGATTTTCAGGGATGTTCACCTTCAGTTTAGGGAATTGCTGTGAGAAAAGTTACATTCAAACCGCTGTTCACAGCCCTTTTGGAGAGCATCGCTGAAAGCAAGCACTGATGCTAACTGCACCTTTTGCTTTCCAGGGGAGCCCGTGCAAGTGAGGTCCCCACTGGACAGTGGCTGCATCCTGCATCCACCCCATGCAACCAAACCCTCTGCATCCCACTGCAAATCACCACCAAGACATTCAGTTGTGTGCGAGCTGAAAACGCTGGGGGCATGGCAAGCATCTCCCTAGCGAAGGCAAGAAGACATGCAACAACTTACTGTCCAGGTGGCCGACTTGGCGGTGCTGGATTGCTGGAAGGTCACCTCAAAGTGGTGGGGACCAGGGTAGTCAGTGTTGGAGGGGATGACGGGAGCTGGGGACATGGCGTCGAAGGTAGAGCTGGGCTGCGAGTAGGGCGAATGCGTTGGGACATTGGAGGTGTGCTCGGAGCTGTAGGGGCTGGTGGAGGCTGCTCTGCTGCCGATGCTCTGATCCATGCTGTTGTTCAGCAAATTGAACTGGGACTGGAGGAAGGGAAAAGGGGAGGAGGGAAAAAAGAAAACACCAGCCAGTTTGAGACATGGAACCTCACCACGGTGCTGCGCTCCGGGTGTCCTGTTACAGCCTCCTTAAAGGGACAGTGCGGGAGCCCGGTGGAACACCCCTAAGGGTCGCTTGGGGCTTTGGACAGGTCACCACTTGTGCGAGGGGTGACCTCGATAAGCTTAAACCATCCCCTTCCACTCGCTCCATCCTCATGGGAGGCAGCGAGGAGCTGAGATTCCCGGGCTCTAGCATGGGTTCTGCCATAGGGGACCAGGCAGGGATGCTGTGGGAGATGTCCAGCGGCTGCGGGGTGGGAGAGATGGCCCCGTCCTGCGTCCTGAACACAGGATGGGTGCTGCCATCCCAGCAGCGAGGGTCAGGGAGGATGAGGAGGAGGATGACCGCCCACCCTGGGTGAGGCATCATTCCCACTGCGACCAACTGAGGCAGGAGCTGCCTCCATCCACCTCCCGCGTGCATTCCCGTGTCGCATGTGCACACACAGGGCACCTCTGGAAGCGTTTCCCTCTGCAGAGCCGGCTCTGAATGGTGGTTTGGGTGATGCTCCCCACATGGGATGTTTGCTGTCAGCAGCTTCCACCCAGGCAGGTCTAATTTGGGGAAAACCTCAAACCTACAAAGTAGCTGCGATGCAGGCAGGTCACTCGGCAAACGTGCCTCTTTGGGCTGGTTCTGGCTCTTATTCCAGACCTGCTGGGCTAAATCCTGACCTTTTGCTATTTAGTTTTCCTATTCCCCTTCTGAACAGTCACTGTCAGAGTCTTCCAGTAAAGTGGCAGCAGTTTTACCTGCAGGCACAGCCTAAGCTAAAGTGCTCTCTCAAGAGCCGCATGGCTCAAGCAGCCTGAATCTCTCCTCAATCAAACTAAAAAAAAAACCACT